ACACGTTATCATTTACTTCTTCCTTTGAGTAAGTTACTTATTTTCCATACTTCCTCAGCCGTAAAAAAGAGAATGACAAATGAACTCTTCGGCATAAGGGAATTGCTACAGAACTGCAACTCAGGCTTTACCCAATTTGGAGAAAACCGTCTTTAATTAGCACACATACTAAGGCGTGACAGTATTTGCTGCTTTGACCCCAAATACCAGTGGCATTAATTTCTTTTCCTTCTTTCTGTATGTGCTACAATCCCTCAGCCTCCTTCTCTGTGAAAAATTATCTAGCTTGCGCTTTGCTCCCTCACAAACTACTACAAATTCCTCTTTTCCACTATTTCCTCTGTTACCTTGCCATCTTAGGAGAGTATTTTAAACTAACATCCTGTCCCTGAAACCTTCTCATGGTCAGCAGAAATCCCTCCTCTGGAGCCCAAAACGTTCATTCCTCAAAGCCGACTCCTCACATGCCTCTGATCAAGGCCCCACAACTGCACAAGGCGAGTTCATACCAGTTCTCACTTTCCCAGCCACCCTTTTGCAGTCTTTCACTACTTTCCTCCTGATTCCATTCTCAGTTCGTGTCTTTTTTCCCCACTACATTCCTCTACAGCCACCCATCCATGTGTATCAGACAATGCCAGTCACCTCTTTGAAACTGCATCCTCAATTTCCCAGTCTCTGGCCTACCTCCTGCAACTTCAGGGTCTCTAAACATATCTTCTACCCTGCCACATTCAGCATCTCTTCTTAAAGACAAGGAATACATGGAAGAAAAACTAAATTTCACCACCTGCTTTCAGCAAGCTCTTCACAAGACTAAACCTTTTCCTGATTTTCAGTCATCTCTTCTTTCACAGGCTTTTGCCAATTAATATCCATTATCAAAATCTGTATTTTCATTAACAGGACAACATCATCTAGTATGGCCAGGAATGGGCATTCATAATACATTAAAATCTTAGATACTGCTTTTAAATCTGTATTACTAACTTCTAGTTTTGAAACTTTTCCCTGAAAACAATTTTATATATTGTAAATATAAGGTATTATACAAGCACTGTATTTAAAAATCCCTCAAATAAGGTATTACACAAGCACTACTAATACACAGTTATTTCTCTACTGTAACTCTAAAGATGTGTAGAAAATAGCCATTTTTGACTGCAGATGAACACTTTTCACATAGAACTCTGCTAAGTGCTAACCACAGAAAACTGATCTCTTAGTCTACGTTAAATTGACACAATAAGATGATAATGAATTAAGGTTTGTAACTTTTGTTGCAGAAATCTATTACTGGCAGAACAATGGTACTTTGCAAACCCAAAGTTTAGGACAGCATCATCCTCTGGACTAGTGAAACTTTGTATAATAGCAATGTACTAGTAGCTAGTGAAAACTGATGTTATTTCTGAGCTCACTGAGAATGAATTATTTGGTGTAATAAGAACCATAAGATACAAACTTCAGAATAATCCACTAACTACAACACTCTTGTGAAGATGAACAACAGACTACCAGGTATTTAAATGTTTTTCCAAAGCTACAGTTTGAGGCACACACATGGACTTTCAGTCTCAAGATCTGAGTTCATCCACCACACCCCTGATAAGGGAAAAAGTTGATTGTTTCTAAGGCAGGCATTTATATTATACAGGAATTCCCCAGTCTTGATGCGTGAGAAGTAAATGGTGTTTATTTCAGTTAGCAAAGCATAAAGCTACAGTGGTGGCACAGTTGCCAATGTTAGTGTTCACCTGAAGAGCAACCTGCTATTACCTATTAAAAAAAGTGAAACAGAATTTGTATGACTTATTCTCCATGTGGTATTTGGACTTTGTAAATGGAATCCAGCTATTTCATGTATTAAGCTTCTAACAGTGGTGCGAGATAGGAAAACAGTAAGATTAAAAGCACTTTTCAACATAAACAGAAATACACAGAAATAAGGCATTATGTATTATATTTTAATTCTCAAAACATAGAAAGACAAAATGGTATTGAGATTAAAAAAGCTTGGATTGAATATTTCTCTAAATTTAAAACATTAACATTATACTTAGATTATTGTTGTCCTTGAACTTTATAAATTCATCTTCTAATACAACAAACGAATCAAAACCACACAAAACCCCCCAGTATCCATATGTTTGCATTTCCTACTACCAATGAAGTCAAGGAAGTTTTCACTGGTTTGCATTTGTTCTCAAGTTAGTTACTCTTAGGCTGTCATTCACAACCACAATATCGAATAGTCTAAGCTGGCTGCACAGCAAAACCACTGGTCTTGTTTTCAACAGATGTTAAAGAGAAGATTGAAATTAGCATTAGGTTTTGGTAAAAACTTACTGTTTCAAAACAGAATGTCACAACAAATTAGAAGTTCAAGGTTTGATGCTATCCCATTGACCATTCAACTGTAAAGATGGTCTTCTATAGGACAGTATAAACACATTAAAACAAAAACATGAGATCAGAACTATAATATTTCCAACTTTGTGTCTAGCTCCATAATTCAAGAATCATCTAAAAAGAACAGTTTCAACTATCCTGTGAGAAACAACTAATGAATTGTGAAAAAGGCTGTTTGAAATGCAGGTTATTTCCTAGTAGGAGCAATTTTTCTATTCTCCTACTCACATTGGAATTTTATTCTATCTAAAACACAGCTGAGCAAATCAAGGCAGTGATTTTAAGCCAGGACTGGTGCTGCAGAAAACAACCTTAAATACCACTCAGGACTACTGCTCTGACAACAGCCTATGCCTGTGTGGGGATGGGGGCAGCAGGGTTAGACACGAAACCTGACAGTCTGCAGAGAGATTCAGCAAGGAACTAAACACAGGGCTTCAGGAAAGGGGACTCCTAGCTTGTGTTTGCCTGAAGCACAAGAATCGGCAGTCCTAGTTTGCTGTGTTGATACAGCATAAATCTTCATAGAATCATAGAATGGTTTGGGTTGGAAAGGACCTTAACATCATCCAGTTCCAACACTCTTGCCATGGGCAGGGACGCCTCACACTAGACCATGTCACCCAAGGCTCTGTCCAACCTGGCCTTGAACACTGCCAGCGATGGAGCATTCACCACTTTTTTGGGCAACCCGTTCCAGTGCCTCACCACCCTCACTGTGAAGAACTTCTTCCTTAGATCTAACCTGAACTTCCCCTGTTTAAGTTTTAACCCATCACCCCTTGTCCTATCACTACAGTCCCTGGTGAAGAGTCCCTCTCCAGCATCCATGCAGGCTCTCTTCAGACACTGGAAGCTGCTCTGAGGTCTCCACGCAGCTTCTCTTGTCCTGGCTGAACAGCCCAAACTTTCTCAGCCTGTCTTTACTGTTTACAAAGGAAGGAAAAAAAAAAATAACACAGGGAGAAAAAAACAACCCGAAAACCACCCTACCACTTACAACTTTTAAAAGGTTTAACAATGAAAATGTTTTGGTTTTCCCCCCCCCCGCAAATAAAAATATTTTTATTAAGAAATGACAAGCTGAATAGTCAGTTGATGGATTCTCACCAGGAAGACACTAACATGAAATAGGCTACAGAAAATGAGATTTATTCACCTGATAACAGAAGGGAAGTTGGTATTAGTATTATTTTCAAGTAGCTGGCTTTGTAAGAAAGTCATCAAAAGGAAAGATTAAATCTTTCATCACATACAGAGACTTTAACATGTTTAACAATGCCATATATTACAAGAACATGAAAAGTAAATAAACAATTAAACCAGTTATGAACTTAAAATAGCAAAAAGCTTCTGAAAACCTGTCACAAACCCAAGCGTTGCTATAATTAGTGGAGGACAAGTCTAACAAGGTATCTGTAGAGAACCAGGAACACTGGGGCAATTCGGTTCAGCTGACACAACTCCTTAACATCTAAAGCGCACTCAGCAGTCTACAGTACCATATGTACAACGTGGATACAGACACTTACCTAACAAGCCTTTAAGTTAAGACTTGGATCTGCACTTGTCTATCCTAGATCTTTGCTGGAAAAGAAAATAAATCCCTGTGAAGAAGTTCCCTCATTGCCTTCCTCTGTACTGGGCTCCTCCTCTCTGTTGTCACATTTATTACCTCCACAGAAGCTCTAAAGTGTGGTTTCATCCTTTATTGGCTGAAGGAATATTTGGCATTTGGGGCTTACTCTGTTAGCCATCAAGTTCACTGAAATTAATTCTACCTCTGCACAAATATGGATGTGAAAAGGTGCTATTGCTGTCCAGAGGACAGCAGGGATCTGTGGTAGACATGAGGCCTTCATACTCAAAGAAGTCTCCAAAGAGCAAATGTAGGTGTATGGGCCAGCTGGCTCCCTCAGCTGTCAGCAAAAATGGGTATCCCTCTAAGATATTCCTCTAAGGAAAAAACCTTTGACAACATTAAAAGCCACCAGCTGTTCTACAGCTCCCAAACCATCCTGAAGGGTGAGAACCTCTGGAATAACATGCAGTTAGAATACATTTGTAATTAATTTTCTAAATAAATTCTGGGTTAGCATTTGTTTTGAAACTCTCCTGCAGTGTCAGTTCTCAGTGCACAAGGCCTCCTAACCCGATTTGCACAATTCCTTGGCTAGACAAAGAAGTCTGAAAGTTTCTCACACAACCAGTCCAACACTGGGATTTGGCTTTTCAGCTGAAGCCTGAGCAACAGTGTTTCCAAGAAGCATTGCAAAATATCGTGTAATAATGTAATTTTCCCAGAGGTAATTCTCTACAACTCTAAGTCAGTAGGTAAACACGTGGACAACATCCAGCCAAAGATACACTATACAAAAGGAAAGTTCAACACAAACATTTTCATCTTTGACTCATCATCATGCTTCACCCCTTACCAGAAATAACCAGTAACTCACAAAGGTAACCAACCATTCACTAAAATGCAATAGCTGAACACATTGTCTTAGTTAACACAACACTGTATCTATTCATAATAATTAAAATACATGCATTTTATAAAACATCTCTATTATACCTCTAAACATTACCTTTTCATGAATTTCTTGTGTAGATTGAGCATCACAAAATGCCACTGTGGCTACATCCTTCAGAATAGGCATTTCTACTGTACAATCCCTGCCATCCAGCAATGCTACCAAAGGGCGCGGGTGCATGGGCCCATTCATGATCGGAGGTCGAATGCCTACAAAGAAACAGAGAAGACTTGTTATTCAAGCCTTGAAAATGTAATAAAGAAAACATAGGTTATAGCTAGTCTGTTTATGCTGATGGCAGAAAAAGATTTCAAGGACTGAAGCTAGTAAAACAGGAACAAGTTTACAGTCAGCAATCAAGCAAAACCTAAGAAGACCTTAAAAGAAAACACCATGGAGGTTCAGGAGGCTGAACAATGGAAGATGGATAAAACCACCGAGGGAATAATATTTGTGTTTAAAGATATAACCTTATCGCACTATTAAGAAGTGTCTGTGTGATCTTATCCAAGGTTTATGTTTTGATTGGATTCCACACCTTTTGTGAGCTCTAGACAGAGTGAGAAATATCTTGTCCAGGCTTGCAAGAGTATGGCTTATGGAATATCATAAGCAATTCAGTGAGGATTTGTATATTCAATTTATATATATGATGATGATCTGCTGTGACTAAAATTTAACTGAAAAAAAAAAAAAAGCCTACAACAGCAAAATGTTTAATTTACTGAAGATCCAGCGTCCAAGTGGACAGACTAACTGCTGACCTATGCAGGTCTGCTTAGACTTAATGGGTTTCCAAAACAATTTTGTACAGCTTAGTCAAACAAACACATCATACTGAATCCACCACAGAAAACTCTCAACATGTCTCTCCCTAAATCAACATCATGCCTGAACAGTGTAGAGTGACAAGGAAATACAGGTTAAATATCTTAGGGAAGGAAAATCAGTTGAAAGTGCAGACTTCCTTTATAGCCTCTTTATGGAGTCTTAAAATGAAAAGTAATCCTTGTAACAAGGTATTTAGAGAGCATCTTTTTAACAGTATAGATGCTATAAATATACAAAAGTACTCCAGGGAATAGTATTAAACCATTACATTTACACAAAAGTAGTTGAGCATGGGTGGAAAAAAGGGACTTCCTGAAGACAGATAAGGAAAAGCAAAACCAAGAATAAAGTACATAACTTTTTTCCTCTTTTGAAATAAGGAGTTTTAAACACTGCAAAGTGAAGCAGGCTACATGTTTTTTTATGCAAATTCCAACACATTTTTGGTGCAGTGTGAATTTGAAGACATTGCTTATTGCTTGGTAATACAAGTTAGTCCAACATTAACGCACAAGACCGAGGTTCCCCTGCTACCTTCTACAAGCAAACCCTGCATCTTAAGCCCCGACCTGTGTCAAAAAGCAAGCCCTGAAAGACTGTCATCTGCATTTTAAGTAGATGGAAAATTCATAGAATCCCAGCTGTACAAGATACCTGGTGAAGTAAAACAGCTTCCGGGAAAACAGATTTGCACAAGTCGACAGAAGCAGCGTATTAGTTCCCTGCTGGGACCGTCATGGTCTCTCTTTAACTGTCCAGCCTGAAACCATAAATTTCATGCCCACCCCTAATCAAGTCAAGATGATCAGCCAGCCCTACTACAATCCAGCATTTAAGTTCTTCACCAATTCAGAGTTTTTATATTTGAAGACAGAACAAGAGTCACTACATTTGGTTCTTTGCTGTTCTAGTGCCAGTGTCTCCTGACAACTGATGATGCCAATGGACTGACTCTGCAGGACTCACCACAGCAGAGAGGCATTCAGATGGGAAAAGTACTCACCAGCAAAGTTTCATTAGTATAACACACATGAAAACTATTCTCTGTTATAAATCAGTTACAAATCTCTACTGTGATAGACATACTTAGATTTTTGGTACACAGGTTCTTTGCAGCCACCAAAATTAAATGGAAGCCTTTATAAAAGCTGTGCATCTTGCTAACTCACTGTTGTTACCTGTTTGAACCAGCAGTGGCCACGTAGCCTTCATAAAGTCATTTTTAGGAAATAAACCACACACTAATAATGTGGTACAGGACACAAATACTACATGAATAGACAATGGAAAGCTACATATTATCCAGAGAATAATTACTATCCTTTAATGGGAACTTAATTATAAAACCCCACATTAAATTTACTTAGAAACACCCTAAAATAAAGCATGTTATAGACTTGTTCATGTTTCTCTCAAAACAGTGTATGTAATAGCATTAATAAAATGCAATTATGTCTTGAAGCAAATGTAAAAATGACATTGCAAGCTCTATTCATATGGCACAGAATAACTGTGCTTGTTTTACAACTGAAATGTTACGGTCATCATCTAAGCTGTCAGTCCAGCAAAACCAGGATTACAACAAGTTTGAAGGCTAGCTAAAATAGACTCAGAAACAGAAAACAGAACTTTGATACTGAATTTGTTGAAGATGAATGAGGAAAAATAGGGCACAGATGATCCCCTCAGAGCTACAGCTGAAGCACCTGTCAACAGAAGAGCGCACATAGTCCAAACAGATAACAGATGATGAGATTAAAAACTGGCGCTTATAAGAAACACTCTTCTGACTAGAGCTCTCTCAAAAAATCATGGAATAGAGGATCACAAAACACAACCCATTAAAATAATGATTTCTCTAAAATACAGGTAGGTGTGGTCTGATTTTCCCCTCGGCTTTGTATCTCTCTCGATCTCCACAAAGCTACTCATGTCTCATGCTGGTGCTAAATGGCATGTCAGACAGAGCCCCAAAGCATAGAAACAAGAGTCAGAAAAACAACTGGCAGGATAAGCCCTCCCCCGGAGAATCTGGCTTTTAATAAAGTCCCCAGAACTCAAACACATCCAGTGACCTTGACCACAAAAACCCTACAAACCTTTGCTTGCCAAAATCCTCTCTGAACTTCAGCATAGACTTCCTGTTGCACAATCCTTCCGCCTAAAAACCGTATCACTGAATCGCAGACAATAACTCAACACTTAAGTAAACCCACAGTAACTCCATCACGGTGGCAGTCACTATTTAAAGTCTGCATTTGGAAAGGCACAGTTTCACGATGAATCAGAACCCTTTGAACAAAAAACTACTTCTTCCACTATGTGGATACATTCTGCAAGTTTCTTATCTAGCAATGTCATACTGTTTGGCTTTGCAGCAGACCCTTGAGTGGCAGGATAAAGCAGTGTGTATTTAAGAGCAGTATTTTCCATGTCTGCATTAACAGTAAATCATGCAACTTGGTGCCAAAGAGAAATAACTGCAAACAGGTCAAAAGTGACATTAAACACCACAAATGTGAAACTAATTAGAGTAATTTCACTTAGCTGGCTTATTTAAGTAAAGCATTTCACTTAACACAAGATAAAGATTACACCATCCACCCCCACATCCTAGAACCTTTGTCATGGGAAAACAATCTCAGTTTTATCCTAACTCGAGACTTTCAGGAACCCCTACCAACCTGACATTTCTTAATCTGAGCTTGATTTCCAGGGTCATGAATTCGATTTCTCAATGCTTTACAATCTTCAGTATTCTGAGGCAAAATAGCAGCCTGTCATTCCATCCTCATTTCCATGTCTTTAATTTTTCTTGCAGCCTCCTGTAATCTTGAACCAAAGCTTTTAAACTTCTTATCCACTGCAACCTCTGTAGCCTGGGTGGTGTTCAAATTTTTACTAAAAATTAAACACAAACAATACATTAAAACAACATTAAGGGTCTGACTTGTGCTCACAGAAGCCAGGGAACTCAAAGTTAAAGCTTCTCACTGCATCTGGACCCTTCCCCCTTTTGCTGCTGGCTTTCCACCACACCTGCTGTGCTGCCACTGGCCATTAACATTCCAAGGAAAGCAGTGGAGTGTTAAGACGCACCATGCTCAGGACAGCAGGGGTATTGTAAACAGATGTACCCAGAACAGTTGGCACTGCTTAATGTTTTGCCTAGGTGAGCAGGGATCTGAGGATAACATGTCACCTCCAACACCACCTATGCTGGAGAGCCAAGTGCTCCGGTGAGTACTGGAGATGGAGTGAGAAGCCTTAACTCTGAATTTGCTGGGTCTAAGCCAGGCCCTTAACGTTATCTAAATGTATTTAAGATAAACAACAAAGCTTCCCCAACAGCTCTAATCCAGTTTGGGAGTTTCCCCCTCCATCTCCCATTATGGATATCATCTGGTGGTGAAGCTCTTGCCCCAGGAACAGCTACAGTGCCAGTGACTGCTGGAATCTTTCTGAAGCAATACCAGGTACAAATGTGCACAGACAGAGCAGTTGCCCACACGCAGCAGCGATTCACCACACAGCTACCAGGACAGAGAGCTGCAATTCAGACTAGCTGCTCCTTGGAACAGAAGTACCAAAACCTTGTTCTAGCCCAGCTTTTATGGAAAAAAATCCTGGAAACTGAAAAAGCAGTTTTCAGGTGCAGAACCTGAAAGGAGGCCAACCCCATGCACAAGCACTTCAACTGTCTATGGGTCTCGCAACAAAAGGATTAATGAATTTATCATCCAGCTTTGTAATAGGAGAGGAAGGGTTGTGAATTATTACCTCTGTAGCTCTGGCAGCATGGGGACTTAACAAATTACCACATGCATGAGATAGATTCTTTAAACTGGAAACAAAGACCCTAAGCAGGCTAGTTTCCTACCTGCACCTCCTATAGCTCCTGAAATGTAGGTGCATCTTTGTGCAATACACTCGAAAGGGGAAGAGTTGAAGCCAATACTATGAGGCATACTCACAACTGGAGGATAAGAAAGCTCTCCCTGTCATACTGTGTTTTAAACCTTCTGTAAAACAACCTTCTATATTACAAACTGACAGTAGCTAAAGTGATCACCCTGCACAAACAGCAGAGATCCGCAACTAGGCTGTCCCTGCTTGCTAGCATTAGAAAACATACCAAAATGCAACAAGATAAGCTGTTAAGATTAATCATCATTAACAATGTCACTTGCACAGTTTTCTGCGTTAGGGCTGTTCAGCCTGGCGAAGAGAAGCTGCGTGGAGATCTCAGAGCAGCTTCCAGTGTCTGAATGGGGCCTACAAGGATGCTGGACAGGGACTCTTCACCAGGGACTGCAGTGATAGGACAAGGGGTGATGGGTTAAAACTTAAACAGGGGACATTCAGGTTAGAAATAAGG